GGGACACCCGGGTGGGCCAGTGGATCACTGCTGCACTGCCCAGCCACCCAGGGTGGGTCGCATACGGGACTCCTGCCACCCCGGGTTGCAGATAGCAGGCCCAGATGGCGGCAGGGCAGGCAGGATGGCGCTAACCTGCCCTGCCTGCAGTATGCAAATTAGCTGCCATCTTTGTTGGTTAATTTGCATATCACGCTGATTAGCCAATGGGAGGCATAGCGAAGGTATGGTCAATTACCATGTTTGTCTATTATTAGATAGGTTGTGAGATTTGATTTTTTTCATTATACTCTAACTAAACCTATATTTTAATGTTGAATGTAGAAGTAGATATGAGATTCTAAGGTCAGATGTTAAAGAGATATGCAAAAGTATAGAATAAAACCACTTTTGCAACTAAAACCTTTTTTTGAAATATGGTGATTTTTCATAAAAATATGCTATTTGTGTTAAAATTTGATGCTATCATTTAAGTGAATTCAAAATATGTATAAATTTTTCAATTGTAAGTTCTAATATAATAAGTATTGCTAGTATAACTTACATAACAAAAGATCTTTGGGCTCCTCAGTAGTAGAAAAGGGATCTTGAGACCAAAAGTTTGAGAATTCCCGGTGAAAATTTATTTTCCTATAAGATTTTTTGGGGGGTTAATTTGCTTATTTTTCTGTATATAACAAAATGGGACTCAAGACTTTTGTGAAGAAGAATTACATTTTTTTTTTTTTAATGTGAAACTTCCAACTCAGATACCTTTCATTTAAATTTTTCTTGAGTTTTTTTTTTTAAGATTGTCAGGTTTTCCATCTATTCACCAAACATGTGAATGAAGCAAATCACCTGAGTGTCTTTCTGGACCTCTTTCTGCAGGGAACCACCATGTATGGGGCTAATGAGCCGGACTCAGGTCTGCAGCCCCCTCACGGCCAGGCCCACTCTCTGGCCATGAAGGACTGGCCTGCCAGTTTCCAGTGTTGGCCACCTATGTTACTAGGCTCTCATGTTTCATGAGCACCACTTATGTGCTCATGATGCCCAGTTTCCTGTTGGAGTGACATCAGGGTAAATTAGGAGAAGTATTCATTTCCCCTTATTTTGTGATTTCTTTTTTGGCTCCACGAGTGCCAGATTCTAACTCAAACATTTTTTGTGTGGAATTTTACCATTGCTAGTACTACTTCTAACAAATAAGTTCTTAGCAAGAATGGGGGAAGGAATTCCATTTTTAACCGTTTGGCTGCTGACGTATTTTTTCAGACATATGCCAAAACTGCGGCACTAATTGCGTGTGTATGGGAAAAAATGTAAAACACTTTTTATACAATAAACTCACTTGTATTGCTTTGCAACAACAAAAATTAAAAAATACCAATTGTTTACATAAATTTGTTTTAAATAAGAAGAGCGTGATAGTGCTCCTTAGCAGTCAAACGGTTAATTAAATAGCTGCTATGTTCTTGGTACTAGCATGACTAAGTTGATATCTCTGTAGCTCTTTGCGGGTGATAGCTTTATCATGATGTTTTATAGATAACTAGAGGCCTGTTGCACGAAAAGATTCGTGCAATAGGCCTTCCCTTCCCCTGGCTGCCGGCACTGGTTTTCCTCCGGCACCCAGGACCCCGGCTTTTGCTCTGGCCAGAGCCACCTTCAGTCTTCGCTGCTCTGGCTGGAGCCGCCTTCAGTCTTTGCTCCGCCACTTTGCACCTACATATGCAAATTAGCCACCATCTTTTTTGGGGGGGGTTAATTTGCATATCTCGCTGATTAGCCAATGGGAGGCGTAGCGAAGGTATGGTCAATTACCATGTTTGTCTGTTATCAGATAGGATTATTAGATAGGATGGGACAGGAGAAGATCAAACAGGCAAAAGAGCTAAAAAACAATAAAAAAGTAGCTCAGTGTCACAGTTCAGCTGTTTATCCGTAAAGTGCCTGCTTTTCCCCCGAGACTGCCTCTAAAAGTCTGAGTCCCAGTAACATTGAGTCTCTTATACAGTGTGATTATTGCCATTGTTGTGAAAACAGCTAGCTAAGGGACAGAGCAGGCTTGGGTGCATCTCTAACTTGTGTTTATGTGTAAATCACAGTTTTTATTGGGCATATTCATCTCCTTAGGTCAGAGGAAACATGGGTTCAGTGAAAGGACATTAGACTTGAAGCCAGATGACTTTACCCCAAATACCATCCTTGTCCTTATTAGCTGTGTTGTCTTGTTCAAGTCACTAAACCTCTCTGGACCCTCATTTCTTAATCTGTAAAGTAAAGCCAGTAATAGAAGGTCTTTCCCAATGTAATTTGGCACTGGAAACCCCCAATTTTGATATTAGTATTTGTGCAAAGCCTTTAAAAGCAGGGGACTATGCCTATAGGGACAATTAGAAGTCCGCATCTCACGATCATGTAAAATTATGTAAATCATCATTATAGGTGTTCTGACCCCTTGACTTCTGGGACTGCCTTTTAAGACTGATTCTTTATTATTGTGTTGAGTCACATGAAATTGCTGACAAATTGACTTTCTTATCGAAAAAAATGGCAGTTTTATAGGGTTAATGCTAATACATTTAATAGTTATAAGTAAAATTATATATCAGTGGTTTAAAAAAATCTATATAATTGTACCAAAGGGTATATTGGGGAAAGTATGCATGCCTAGATCTTTGTTATATTTTCCAAAAAAAACTTTACTCTGGAGTTTTTCTCAGAATGTCTTGATGACATATGGTAATCTCTCGCAACCAGTGAAATGTGTTGAAGAACGTGATAAAGGGTCTTTCCTGCTAGTCGATTCATTTTAATTACAGTAAGTGGGAGATCTGTGTCTGTATTTGAATGTCTGTGTGTCTGTGTAGAGAGAGATTTTCTCCTGTGAAGGCTTTCTTTAAGTGGGGAATGCTGGCAAGAACAATTATAGGTATAAAATGAGTTAGACGACTTAGGAGGTTGCAGTTTCTCCACTTAAAGTCATTTGTTAAAAAGTCAGAGCTTTTAAAAAATACTAAATTGAATGGTTTTAAAAATTTTCACGGCAGAGAGTGAGGTGCTTGCAGTTGGTTAATTATCCTCTGGAAGTCTTGCTTCCCTGGCAGTGTTCTTATAATTTCTCTGGAAAATGAGGTTCTTTAAAAATTATTTTGTCTGGAAAATAAACTGGAGTGGATTCTAATCACAAATTAAGTTTTTAAATAAGCTATTAGCCTAGATTTTATGGAATTTACTATTCAGTTTCTAGAAAAATGAACATAGAACAAGTTCCACAAATTATGTTCTTTGTCCTTGCCATCCACAAATTAAAGCTTAAAAGCTATCCATGCTTGATTTTTAAATGTTTGTGAAATCGCAGAGGAAGAAATCAGAAGTTAAGAATCAAGAACGTGGAAATCAAAACCTAAGACAGTAACAGGAGCTAAAACAGCAACTATGAGGCATATTTAATTCCTGTTTCTTTCCCTTGAAAAGCAGTGACTCACCATTAGATCCACAGCAGTGGCCCAGGCGTTTATCGGTTCAGAGAAGACTTTAAATGCTTCCTTGCGTGAAGCATTTCACCTTTGGTTTCAGTTTTTAGTGAGATTGTGGCCTTTTGTGCTCTTAAACCAAACATTCTGGTTTTCTTTTTTTTCCCTGAGCATTTTAGTTTTTCATTGGACTCCCTTAGCCCTGAGGGTTACGTCATGCCCCAGCTGTATTGGTGCTCTTTATCACATCCCAAACTGGTTTTAACTCACTATCCCTATACACACAGCATTGTCTTATATTTTACAAGCAATGAGTTTACAATTTTTTTAAAGTAGGAATTTCTACAGCCTAATGCATGAGCCCATTGAAGAAAAGCCTGCTTCTTGAAATTAAAAAGAACATTTACAGGGAAAGTTAAGTTAGCCTTTGAAAAGTCTAATCTCACTGGTAAATCTGTCACTTGTCATCCCATCCATTAAGAAATTTGGGGGATATTAAAAGCACAAAAAGCCATTTTACATTGAAATCACAATGGTCTTTAAATATACTCAACAATGGTTGGACTTTCCTTACTTACCAGTTTTTCAAGTCCCTTAGGGTCTCTGTAGACAAGATTGGGTCAGCGACTGTGACATCTGATGTTGAGAGAAATATACTTTGCTTTCTGCCTGGGCTGCTCTTGTTGACCAGTGGAAATGCTGCATTAGCTCTCAAACCAAAACATTTAAAGTGCTCTATGAAATGCTGACTTCCTGCCAATGGTTTGAATGTCAAGTACTACAGATGTCCAGTCCTTTTTGGAGCCCAGATGTACGATGTGCTTGTATAAGTTGGATCTGATTTGTGCTTAGGGTTACAAATTACAAATTATCGAGGTCTGAGCCAGCAATAACTGGGATTAAACTGGGTGCAGGGGGAGAGGAGAGGGCGACCCCCAAGTGAGAACTGCAGCCTGATGAGGCTCCGTCTTTCCCATGCTTAGCTCTGACCTCTTCCTGTGAAGCTGTTGTAAGAATAGCTTCTATATTTATTGGGAAGTTTTTTCAAGTTGTAATTCACATGGCTTCAACTAACTCCTTAAAATTTGTTGGAAACCCGAAAAATATTTGAGAATAAAACAGACCAGAGCATTTCCCATTTCAATATCAGGGAAAGAAGTGGGGAGGCTGTGCAAGTATGTGTTTACCTGAGCATTTTTTTTTGTTGTTAATCCTCACCCGAGGATATTTTTCCATTGATTTTTAGAGAGAGTGGAAGGGAGGAGAGAGACAGAGAGAGAGAAACATTGATGTGAGAGAGACACATCGATTGGTTGCTTCCTATATGCTTCCCGACCAGGGCTGGGGATCAAGCCTGCAACCAAGGTACATTGTGCTTGATGAGAATTGAACCCAGGACCCTTCAATCTGACGGCTGACACTCCATCCACTGAGCCGAACTGGCCAGGGCCATCTGAGTGTCTTGATCAACCAAGGCCAAGGTAACAACCAAATCACAAGGAAGATGGTAAAGGACCTCAGGCTGTTTACTTAGTGCCTAATCTAGTCTGGCTGTGATTCTGACATACCCATTGAATTGGTGCTATTAGGTCTCTTCATCTGTCTTCAGGTTACTCCCACCTCCCTTAAGTTTTCCCATTGATTTTTAGAGAGAGTGGAAGGGAAGGGGAGAGAGCACCCTGTTTGACCCCAGTTTCTGGATTATTTTTTATTTAACGGATTGTTGCCAGGATTCTGTATTCTTACGTGGCACTCTGGATTGATGCAATCATAGTTTGTCTCTCAGGGGGACGGGCCCGGCTTTCCTGTGTTCTGTTTACTCAAATGTCATCCAACTTTGGACCTACATCATTACCTTCACTTGTTTTGTCGGTTTCTTTTCCTTTGCATTGGGGTAGCATGCTCATTGTCAATCATGCTTATTATCATTATCAAACAAAAGAAAACCCCTCAAAACTTCCCCTTGACTGTGAGTTCCCCTTGTTTGGTACTGTAGTCTACTGATCACCCGAGCTCAAAGCCACTAAATTCTCCTTCACTATCTCATCACTCCTATGCAGACACTTACCAAAACCTGATGGTTTTTTTTAACACCTAAATATTTCTTGTGTATGATTTTCTCCAAACCTAAGGTCATTTTTCTGCTTATATTCCCTCCCTCCAGTCTATGGCCCACCCACAGTGTCTGCCCCCAGTCACCTATGGGAGGGATACTTCTAAAAGACAAGCATGGCCATGTCCTTTTGGTGGGTCCTTCTCCCCTACAAATTAAGTTCATGTTGTTAGACCTGGCAGACCTGGTGCGCGTGACTGACACTCTCATCTCTGCCCTGACTCTCCTTGAGCTTGACCCAGCAGCATCACTGACCTTTTGGAACTTCCTGCAGTTATCGATGGTCTTGCCTCCTTGCGTGGGCTCATGCTTTTCCTCTGCCTGAACTCACTGTCTGGAATAATTCTTTCCTTCCACCTGGTTCATCCTGAATTTGAGCTTTGTTTCTAGAATGTCAGCCTCACTTTTTATTCTCTTCACATACATCTGCTCTATTTATATCTGCTTTCTGTTTACATGGAGTCATCTTAAAAATTAAATGTTTGGCTTCAGCCTAAGCAAAAATACATTCGAAATGACAGATTTTATGCATCTCTTCACTAGTGAACCAAGTAGTATTAATCACTTCTTTGAGCAAGGTGCTGTGGGGGCCCGCGGTGCTCCTAAGGGGTGTGCCTTCTTTGCGAATGGTCTGTCCTCATTTCTCCCAGCGGGACCGGGAGCTGTTGAAGCAGAGCATTATCTTCTTAATTTTAATCTGCAGTACCTACCTCTTTTACTCATGGAATTAAAATAATAGAAAAGAAAAAAATAATACAAAAGTAAAGATGTGTTGATTTCTTAATTTTCTCTTCCAGGTTTTACTTATAGCACTTGGTTTCTTTCATAAATGAGACTTCTAAACATTGATAAAGCCAAAGTAAAAGTTAATACGTTCACTTTTATTTTGGAAGGCTTGGGATCCGTGACATAAAAACAAACTGTCTTTTATAAATATTCAGTTTCCTATGCAGGGATAGGTTTGTTTATTTGTAATACAGTAACTGCTACAACTAGCTCAGATACAAAAACAAAACAAAAAACTTGAGTCATATGTGTGTATTTTAATCAAAATCAATACTTGGGGGCTCTGGCCAGGTGGCTCAATTGGTTAGAGCATTGTCCCAATATGCCAAGGTTGTGGGTTTGACCCCTGGTCAAGGCTTATATAATAATCAACCAATGAGTACATAAAAAACTGGAACAACAAATTGATGTTGTTAAATTAGTTTTATTTGAATTACTAACACAAAGAAATAAAAATTAAAAACTTGTCTAAATGTCTTGGGCTAGGAATAGGAGACAAAAGAGAAAACAGTGGAGGTCCTCTTTACTTAAACAAAATTACCTCCTGGGTGGGGTGCCTATGGATTGCTAAGCAAAGGGGTGATGTGCCAACCCCAGGAAGCCAGTCTGGACAGCCAGGCAACATGGCTGTCCTTCTCCTCTTCCTTCCCTTCCCCTTCTTCCTTTCTCTCTGTAAAATCAATAAATAAATTAAAAAATTTAAAAATCTGTTCTTCGATATGGGCAGATCAAGCTTGATTCAATTTCATCACATTAAATAATGAAGACAGTGTTGAAAGTCGAAAGTATTATACAAGAATGTCAAAGGAAAAAAATTTAATGGAACGTGTACGTTTATAGTGGCATTCCATTTTGTAGGCTGACTGGAGAGCGGTGGGGAGGGGATACCTGAAACACAATCTCTAAGTCTTAGGTATTCAACACTCTGGGGGATAATAAAGAAAAATATTGACAGAATCCACTGGCACAAAGCTAAGGATGTGTGGAAACCTGAGGATATGAGAGGAGCCCTGAATAATGAGGTAAGTATCAGTGTCTGGGATTTAGGAGTCTGTCCAAAGCAAGATAAATCAGTTTAAACATCAAAGATGTACTTCTATAAATGAAATAATTTTAGAGACACAGCTTTTTTTACTGTGTTGAAGTTGATATTGTCTAGTTTTGCATTGTGCCAGAAACCTCTCTAAACTGACTCCCAGCCCTGCTTGCTGATAGTCTCCAAGCTCAGGTGGAGCCACAGTAGCACGAGGTATGCCATTTGATGTGGCTTAAACCACGTTCCGTTTCCAGACTTACCATCTATACTCTCACTTCTGGCCTTTATCAGGCTGTTTCTCCTCCATCTCTACCTCATGTGTATTCTTAGAGCCCACCCAGGACCCCATGTTTATGGTGCTTTTCCTTACCTTCCCTCTAAGCATGAGTAGACTGTAATCCCCGCTCTGAATTCCTACAGTGCTTGATTTGAATTCTGATTAGGCCTCAGTATCATAGATGGTATTGACTAAATCTCCTGGTTTGGCGGGGATGGCAGGTCTTTTGGTGATGTTCCCCAATTCTGTTATCCGTGTAGTCACTTGGGGTGTTGGATGGGAAGGCATGTGGTTTTTCTGCAGCCTCTGTCCCCCATGTTGCCTGGCTGTCCAGACTGGCTTCCTGGGGTTGGCACATCACCCCTTTGCTTAGCAATCCATAGGCACCCCACCCAGGAGGTAATTTTGTTTAAGTAAAGAGGACCTCCACTGTTTTTTCTTTTGTCTCCTATTCCTAGCCCAAGACATTTAGACAAGTTTTTAATTTTTATTTCTTTGTGTTAGTAATTCAAATAAAACTAATTTAACGTTTTTCATCAAGTCATGCATTGATGTACTTTAAGAACTCAAACAATGTATAAAACTTGTAATGAAATTTAGTAATAGTCCCTGTGCCCCAGTGGCCACCTTTTCACTTTGTAATTCTTATTTTGGGGTATCAACCCTGATATTGCTACATAACTGACAGTTCTTGGCTTGCAGAAGTATCTGTTGACTTCTTTGTGTGGAAGATGAAGATTTAGCTCCCTTACCCTCCACACTTGTTTTCACCTGGATAGTTAAGACTACAATTTTTGGATAAGTCAGTATCCCTTGTTCATATAATTGGAGCTGTGTAAATGTTATTTATGGTCGAGGCTTATCACTTGTATTGAAAGGGATGGCAATCCCCAGCCTCCTCCCGTGACCTGGAGAGACTACCCTCTTTAGTCCAGGCTGCACATTTCCCATTTCCAGTCAGTTAAGATATGTAAACATGCTATATAAATATTAGTTCTTATTATCACTTTAGAGTTATAATTTGAGCCAAACTTCATTTAGTTCAGTTCTTAGCTGCATGTGTATGAATAAGCTTAAAAGCACTTCTGTCAACAGCTGTGTTTGGAGAAATACATGAAGTCCAGGTATGTATTTATATAGAACTTTGGTTGGATAGATACTTTTTAGTATTATACCTCAAAGGCAGAGGAAATGTGTGTTGACACATTCTTCTGATTAAT